CCCGCCTGCCCGGCAGCTCCCAGATCCGGGCCACGGACCGTACTCCCAAGGTCCGCTCCAGCCTCACACAGGAGACCCGCGGGGCTGAGACACCGCAGGGCGCAGAGTGTCACCCCTAAACTAGACCCGCCACCACCCCGGGCGCCCTCCCGGCGCCCCCGCTGCTCCCACCTTCCACTGCGGGGGGGCAGGCAGCCGCCTCCGCAATCCCACGTAGCTCAATAAATAGCGAGACCTGCGTTCGCAGCAGGGCGCACACCCGCACCCGTGCATAAGTTAAATAAATATGACACCCTCCATCACTTAGGAGGGCGGACATAAATACACATAAATATTAATTAGGACCACGAGAAATAAATTAACGGCGCGCCGCTCCCCCCGGGGCTGGTCCCGGCCGGCGTCGCCGCTGTAGTGTGCTGAGTTCGAGTCCTCAAGTCCCAGTTTGGGATACGCGCTCGCGCACCAGGTACTCTGGTGTTTCTCGGTTGTTTCGGATTCGCTACGGAGGGGTCGAGGTTAGAAGGCGGCCGGGTGCTGCTGAAGGAAAGCGCTGAGGTCCAGCGCGTAGTCCGAGGGCTCGGTGGTCAGATTGAGGGGCTCGAACGAAGACCGGCGGCGCGGCGGCGGGTGGCGGGGCCGCGGCGCCGGGCGCGTCCTCCGGGGCCAGGGGCGCGGGCACGCCGTCTTCGGCCATCAGGATCTGGCAGAAGATGACGGCCAGCAGGAGGAACAGCAGCCTTTTGGCGGGGTTCCGCTCTTCAGCGGGCAGCTGGCGCCGGACCTGAGGGACACGAAAAGGGGACAGTCAGATCCCAGTCCTGGCGGTCTGTCGTCCTCCCGCGGCGACCGGTTGCGCCCTCCCGGCAACACTCACCACTCGAGGGTAGAGGACCCTGCGGCTGCGCTTGCGGGGCCCGCGGAAGGAGCTGGGGCGCGCCGTGGGAGCCCCCGCGGGCTCCGGGAGAGGATCGAAGGTGAAGATCTCGGGGCCGGAGCCCCGCCGGGGTCCCTGGCTGGCGGAGGGGGCGGGGCTCGGGGCCCGCAGGACAGTCATGGTGGGGAGAGAGCTGCGAGAGTGACACATGGCGAGCGGGAGCGGAGCGCGGGCTGTGCAGGCCCTCGGCCGGGCACACCTATTTATGCACTGGCCGGGGGGCGGGCCCTCGGCCGGCTCCTCCTCCTGCAGGGAGTCGGCAGCGGAGCAGGCTGGAAATTCCGACGATTAGCAAAGGGAGTGGGTGGAGACTGGAGCGGGGGGGGCCAGCCCCTGGCGCCCCGGCGCCATCATGAGTTAGTCGTGAGAGGGGGTGGGTGAGCGCCGCGCTGCAGCCACATGTCAGGGCCGGTGGCAGCTCCAGAGGGGCCCCTCGCGGTTGAGGGGATGGAAGCCACAGGACTCCACCACCCGGCAGGCAGGAGGGCTTGCATAAGAGCTGGCCACCCCGTGGCCAGCAACGTCAAACCATAGCCACACGTGCACATCCACACACTTGGAGGCACGCACAGAAACACAGTCGGGGGAGGCCATGACGGAAGCAGCCACAACGACTAAGAGCAATAGCACACATGCACACACAGACAGGCCTGCCCGCCTTCGCACATGTGAAACACACGTGTGCACATACCATGTAACACGACACACGCGCACACACAGCAAAGGTGCCAAAACTATATAGGGACCGTGCAGTAAAGCTACCCACTTAGATACATGCAGAAATACTCAGGGACAAGCAGGTGGCATAGTGGTTATGCCACTGGACTCCCACCATGGTTCACTGCGGTTCAAGTCCTGGACCCAGTGACTTGAAACTCATGCCAGGTGCATGTGTGTGTGTGCGTGTGTGCCCATAATCCTGAGGAGAAGGGATTGTGGCATGGCCATCCCTCCTGGGGAGTGATTTCTCACTTTTCTGTCTCTCTGTCTCTTGAGCAAGTGCACACACTCTAGAAAAAGTCTAAGAAGAATAAATACTCAGGGACCAGCAGGTGGCGCGGTGGTTAAGGGCGCTGGATTCCCATATGGCCAACCACGGTTCAAGTCATGGACCTGGCAGCTTGCTTTCTTGCTTTCTCTCTCTCTCTTCCTCTCTCTCTCTCTGTCTCTAAATAAATAAAGTTAAATAAAATAATTCTTAAAAAAAAAAAAGAATAAATACTCAGGCAAAGATTGGTACAAAAGACCACAAGATACAAAGGCCAGAAGTTAGCAGCCACTCAGCTTTGTCTTGCGTTGTACGGATCAAATAACAAAACTGATGAGATGGTTAGAAATGGTGGGACCAGCAGTTAGTGTAACGGCTATGTCGCTGGACTCCCATATAGTCAACTGTAGTTTGAGTCCTGGGCCTGGTGGCTTAAACTCACGCCGGGCGCGTGTGCGTGCATGTCCAAGATCCCGAGAGGAGAATGGAGGAGAAGGCATTGCGGCGTGGCCATCCCCCTGGGGGGTGATTTCTCACTTTCTGTCTCTCTGTCTCTCTCTTTCAGGAGAGTGCACATGCTCTATAGCAAAAACCTCTCAAAAAAAAAAAAAAAAAAAAAGGTTAGAAATGGTGAAAAACCTCTCAAAAAAAAAAAAAAAGGTTAGAAATGGTAAGACTTGGGACCAGCAGTTGGTGTAATGGCTATGTCACTGGACTCCCGTGTAGTTGACCATGGTTCAGTTCCCGAACCCGGTGGCTTAAACTCACGCCGGGCGCGTGTGCGTGCATGTCCAAGATCCCGAGAGGAGAATGGAGGAGAAGGCATTGCGGCGTGGCCATCCCCCTGGGGGGTGATTTCTCGCTTTCTGTCTCTCTGTCTGTCTGGCAAGCACATGCGCCCTATAGCAAAAACCTCTCCAAAAAAAAAGAAGAAGAAATGGTGAGACTTTAACAGATGTTGCCATGTTGGTTATACATGGGAGGGCGTTGCACAAATGTCGCAATAACATCACTCTTGGAGTTAAGACAGACTTGGCACACTTTCATAACTGCCTTAGAGACATCGGCTCATGGTGACAGAATTTGAAGTCCTTTGAGCATCGGCCTGTGCCCGGTCCCTTGTTAAAGGCAGTGCTGAGAACCCTGAGGTCAGCTCACTGTGAATGCTGTTTGCTGAGGGAGGCAAGCCAGGGAACAGCTCTGGGGACCTTAAGCTCTGGCGTGGGGAGGGGACCGTGACTAGCGGAACTCTCTTGAGGGTTCTAAGAAAACTGAGCACTAGGTGTTAAGGGGACCCCAAACAGCTAGTGTTCATTCACCTCTGGTTAACGATCGGGGAGGCGTCCAGAAGAGCGCGTTTGAGATGACCCTGAGCAGTGGGTGGGTTATGACAAATTGGGACGTGGAGGATGACTGTGAGAAAGAATGGGATCAGCAAAGGCCTTCATCTGGAAAAGTACAGGATGTGTTTGGGGAATCACAGGAAAAACAATCTCAGAGGAAGTTTCCTGTAAAGCAGGGGTGGGAGCTGATAATGCTGGAGAGGAGCAGGGCAGAGTGGAGAACGGAGCTGCTGCCAGGCCTGGGTTAGACTCCCGGCCGTGGAGCTTGGGGCTCCGAGGTGCCCTGAAAGGAGCTCAGTCCAGCCTGAGCACGGCTGAGCTAGGTGTGCCATGCAGCCAGAGACCGAGGCAGAGCACGGGGGCTGCTGGAGGGCCCGGGCAGCAGGTCACAAGGTCGGAAAAGGTGGCCATGAGACACGGCCCCAGCCTCAGTTTGCCAAGTTTGGCTATGATGTGGGTGTCATTAGGGGAAGAGAGCTAGGGAGGGATGTTTACTGACAGGGTAAGGAAGAAAGATCAAAGACATTCTCCACAGGGTCTTTAGTCTTTTTTCTTTTATTTATTTAATTTTTTGCCATAGGGCATGTGCTCTCACTAGAAAGAGACAGAGAGAGACAGAGAAAGGGAAAGTGAGAAATCAACCCCCCACCACCAGCATGGAAGGTCACGCCACAGTCCCTTCTCCTCCATTCTCCTTCCGGATTTTGGGCACACATGCTTAAGTTTCAAGCTACCAGGTCCAAGACTCGAACCACGGTTGACCTCGTGGGAGTCCAGCTCCTTAAGTACCATGCCACCTGCCGACCCCTCAACAGGGTCTTCATGCCGTAATCCATGCCCAGCCTTAGCCGGTCCAGGTCACAGGCGTGCGTGCATGTACCTGGCGTGTGCACATGTTCTGGAAGCTTCCCACGTGGGCCCAGGTGCACTCTCGCCGCACCACTGCCGGCTCCTGCCTTTGCCCTCTCACCGTAGCAAGCCTGCGCTCAGGTGAGCACACACGTGACCTCTGCCCTGGGAGGCTGCATTACACACGTGGCGTGTCCTCCGGAGAGCCCAGTGCGGAGGCTCGTAGGTAGTGCCGGCACAATAACCGTGTTACAGGAAAGAACTACATGCACACTGGCGGGTCATCCCAAGGTTCTGAAACATGGATACGCTCCGCCCAACTCCCCATACACATTTACAATATCATTTTTGCT